ACTCCTGTTGACTGAGAAAAGCTATAACTTGCAACCGGCAACAGGCTGAGAACCAGAAGAACCAACAAAAATCGGCTCTCTACCTCTGCCACTGCTTGTGCAAGAATCAGCACACTAAGCTCCAGATTCTGGCGCCAAGCATTTCCCGCAACACAAATCCTCTTGAAAAGGCCCGACCAGCGGTGCCTTTCGCAATAACCGCTCTCAGAAGAATGAAAAGAATGACATGAAGGATGGCTGCATGGGAACGGTCTGCCTTCATCAAACATCTCCTGTTGAGTGCTGTGAATCTCTGTCTCTGCATCTTCTCCAGCTGATTCGTCAGTGCTTGTGGCGCTGGACCTGCCAAACCTGGTTGGTTCAAAGTACACTGAGCTGACGTGTGGCAGCTGGCGGGCGCTGAGTTGTCGCATCCGTTGCCAGATGAAACGGAAGCTCCGGGCGCAACGCGCTTTAATAACACCGCCAAAATCAACATGAGCAAATCGAGCAAACCATTCTCGCTTTGGTAAACCTTCAATGTTCACCCAAGTGTCCAAGCTGCTTCGCAACCATTTCAGTGACTTGATGGATTGGTGAAGTTCCATCCTCGCATCAATCGACACCTGGCCACATCCGCTGAGATCAATAACTATACTCTCCAGGTTTCGCGAAGACTGCAAAGCAGAACTGAAGCATCCGAATTCTTCCAAACATGGCAAGTTCATGAACCTGCAGCCACTGGACCGTGGCAGCTGAGAAAAATCAAAATAACAATATCATGTCCATGGAATCAAAAAGAAAGCTTTGAAAGCGCAGCAAACAATAAGCTGAAAATCATAGTTTTTGCTGGTTCAAGATGAAGAAAAATGTGACTGGAAATTCACAACTCAGCGCACCATAGCTCGAGGTACATGAGGTTCTCCATCTCCCTCAGGGCAACTCCAAGCCCTGCCGCAGTCCTGAAGTGCGAGGAACCTGTGAAGCGCAACTTCAACTGGACCAAAGACTTCAAACACTGCACCGTCGATGTGAACATGTCCAGAGTCTCAAGACCCGAGAATCCCAGATCTAATCGCAAAACGCGCAACTCTGCAGGTAGGCTTTCGATCAGCACGTCAAGCTCATGGTCAGAAAAATTCTGGCACCCAGTCAGTGAAAGCTGCACTATCTTTCTACCAACGTCTGCCTTTACAGCTCTGGCCAGAAGTTCAGTGCATCTTCCTTGAAGGACAAATCCGTACCAGCTGCATAAAGCGAAGTGCGAAGCAAGAGCTTCATCTACTCGGTGGAAATTCGGATCCCCAGCGGGGTACGACTGCAAAAGCTCAAAGTCACAAGTTCCAAGACGAGAAAGAGCTATGCTGTTCAGTATACGAACTTTGTCGATGTTCTGCGTTGCATGAGCTTCCTTGAGCTGTCCAACATTCAAACTCATGATTATATGGCTCGCTCACCTTCTGGAAAAAGAGAGAACTTAGAATTAGAATGAGCCATTTTTGCGAGGTGACATTCATACAATGCAAATGGAACAATATGAACAATGGACCATGGACCTTGTCCATTCAATCGATCGTCCAAATGGATAAAATGGTTCTCCAAACAACATCAAAACAGTAGAGGTTTCTTGCAATCCCGCACCAAGTTTCTTCAATCTTTACCTTCAAGCCCTTTTCCAAAAGGTCCAGGGGAAAGTGACGCTCACGAGCTGCTTTGTGGTGCAACCCGATGATGCCAATCATTCGACTTTCTGCTCCAGCAAGTCCATCAGTAAGCACGTGAGCCTCAGAGATCAACAAGTTTGGAAGGGTCAAAACATCACTTATCACTTATCACCTCTTTGTAACGATATATGGAAAGGCAGGCTTACAGTAAGGTGATGTGAAACGGTTCACCATGGTACAGAAATGGGGGTTACGGTAAAGGCCATGGTCTCAACCTTTCGAGCAGACCACGCAAAGGAAATGTCCACACAAGGACACCACTTCTGTGTCGAGTAGCTTTGTCATATGCATCAGTGGCTCCCACATCAAGCAGCAAACGTCGTCTGGACCAGTTGCCCTCTCGATGTTCGATCGCCTTGGTCGCTTTTAGGGTGAAAATTCCGGAATTGTTTACACCAGTGTCTCCTTCGATCCACTATCTACTGAAGCATTGCCTGCCTTTACGAACATGACCTGGTGTTGCTCCTGCTCGTTATCCCCCATTCACATGTATGCAAATCAACCAAGCGATTATGCTGTTTGGTTGTGTTTCGCATTTTGCACTGAAACAAGCTAGCTGCTAGCTGGACAAATCAAAACGTGTCCCTTCAGGCAGAACTCACGAAAAAAACTCACGTTCATGTCACATTTTTCTCGTTCTATGATGCTTTCTCGCACTTCTAGGAATTTCTAAGGCTGCGGCCATGGCTTCCTCGAAGCAGCACCAAATCCTTTCGAAAGGCGTTGTTGTTGTTGTTGTTGTTGTAAGCGGACGTCAACCTGCTCCTCACCGAAGTGAAGTAGTTAAGACGCCATAGTATGCCATCTGCGAGAATCAAGTTCCCATACTTCTCCAAGCAAAACTCAAAAGGAAGCGAAACCTGCCTGAAATAAAAAAGAAGTAAACACAGTGCGCCAGCTAGCATTCCGCATGGAATGTTTGTTGATCAAGTACGACTTGCCAAAAAGGTAAAGTCTAAAGTCCGTAGCCTCTGCAGACGCCAAACTGCTGCAGCCCAAGCCACGGCTCGCTGATGTCGCTGCACAGCCGCAGCGATCATGGAGCGTGAGTCACGCAACACCTCACATGCCTGAGCATCGGCTGTCGCATTGAGAACGCGGCAGAGATGAACATCAATCCAACCATCTGGTGGTGTCCAGTCAGGCACCTTGTTGTGAGAAGGGATCCAAGTGCAAACAGTGCCCTGAATCAATAAGCCGCTGATCCACTGCCAGAAAAGCGGCAAGTCACCCTCCCAACGGCCAGTGCTAATGCCTCGCTGAAGCCGCCGCACCAAAGCCTGATTGTCAATCAAGAGCATCACCGGTCTGTTAGCTGCAGAAGAGGCTAAACAAGCTTGCAGAAGAGCAGCACGCTCACCTGCAGCAGGTGTTTGCTCAAAACCAGTCACGGCACCTTGAACAGTGGTGCCTGAAAGTGTCGAAACCGCCCAGCTAGCTCTTTGCCATCGATCACAGGAAGTAGCTATGATACAACTGCCGTCCAAACCCAAGGTGGGTCGCTGAAGAGGATCGAATTGCTGAATAAAAGTAACCAAAGCAGGATCTGCAACCATGTTGGAAAAAAGGCAACACAGGAGGAGCATCCACAAGTGGAACCAGCAAACGACGTTCAGTAGCGCTCCTGAACTCACCATCCCATGGCTGCGCTTGGCAGTGAAAAGTGAGATGTTCTCGATCAGGAGACCGCAATCCACATTCACAACTCAAAGCAGAACCAAAGCGCTCTGTGACCCTGCCATCCACTGCAGCACCAGTCAAAACCCTGCGACTGTAGTAATCCATGCCTAAAGCTGCATTTGCCTGAAAAAGGAAAACCGGCTCCTTGCCGTTTGGCCATCGACCATCCGTTTTGGTGTCTTTAGTCCACAACCCAACGAGCCATGAATGGATAGCGGCCTTTTGCAAGCTTTTCAAAGACATCCACCCAGGTTTCAAAATCCCAGCAGGCGTGTGCCACAGGCCATCGTCAAGTCGCCATTTCCAATCTTTGAGTACTGCTTTCCAGCGAGGAGCAGGCGAGGTAGCTGCAGGCAACCCTTGGGCACGGCGGCATTGCCGATTCCATTCCGCCCGGGCGGCGGTGAACTGGAGCGCAAACATCGGATGTAGTCTTGCAGAATCCAAAGAATTCCAAAAGAGCAGCCGGCTCCTACCTGGAGGAGCCCTTCGACCCCAAAGTGCAGTTTCGATCATAGATGTCCATGTTCGAATGGTTCTTGCACTGAAGTGATGAAAAGCACCGGACCAAGCAAATAAAGATATCACCAACTTATGCACCAATGCAATGCGAGTGCCTAAGTGCTGTGCTGCCAAACGAATTTTGAGACATCGTCGCTGAATGTTGTCACTGACAATATCCGTATCAACACAAGAACTGGGGCGTGACAAATTGTATTGAATGCCAAGCAGTGTGAAAGTATCCGCAGGTACACCTACTAAATCTTTCTTCTTGCGCACCTTGGCAACCAGATGCGGTTTGGTGGCGAAGCTAGCCAATTTGTCAGGGTGAAGTTCGAAGCCGAGAATAGCATCGGCTTGCGCTCCCGCAGTCATGGCGTTGATGACCACTTCAAAACTTTGACAACCTTGTTTCCACATGGTGCGATCGTCCAAATAAATAGCCAAAGAAATCCTTGGTTCCTGCCGTTTGACAAACCTCACTCAAACTGTCATCAAAGCGTTCAGTAGCGCAGGGCTGGCTGGACAGCCTTGCAACAAACCCCGTTGAGCAATAACCGGATGAGGGTGATAAGAACCTTGCCAAGCAAACCAACGACGCTGTTCACTGTAAAAATCAGCGAGTAAATCACAAATTGATGAGGGAGCACCGAACCATCGCCACACTTTAATGGCTGTCTGAGGGCAAACTGAATCAAAACACTTGCGAACATCAGCTTTGCACCCGACCAAATCGACACGAGACTGCTTTGCCGCGCTGACAGCTTCGTAGAAACGTTCATGGACTTCCATGATGCCCTTGCCTGGTAGACCACCAAAAAGTTCGGGCGAAGCCCATTCCACAATCCAAGGCTGTAATTTTTTCAGAGTGGCACTCATGCAAATACGCCACAGGACAGTGACAATGGCTAAAGGGCGCATGCCACCAGTAGCTTTTGGTAACAAAGCAATTCTAACATCTTTCCACATCGTAGGAACACAGCCATGTCGCAAGCAAGCATCCCAAAGAGCACCGACCTGATCCCAAAAAGCAATGGGAAGATTGCACAAATGGAGAGCTGTCCAGGCATCCATGCCCGGAGCCTTGTCCTTCGCTTTGAGCGCAATCCGAAAGGCGTTCCAGCTGAATCCAGCACCAAAAGAACTCCCTCAGACATCTGCATAGCTCTGTAGAATGAAGTGCTGCGTGGGTTGCTTTTGATATCCTCTTCCACGCAGTGCTGGTTATTGGCATATGCACAGACCCAATAGAATGTACTGCTTGAGAGTTCTCGCACCAGAGCATGCTGCTCCAAGCAGGCCAGAAACTTACAAACAGGCTCCTCACAGATCTGTCCAACACAAAATTGGACGTGCTTCAAAGCAATAGATTGACTTTCATCTATCATTACGCTGGAGGTTCATTTCTTTTTGATACAGCATCCTATTGAGGGTCCGAAATGAACAAGTCCAAAACTCAACCAAGGCTTCTAGTGGAATGTGAATTATTAGCGGAAAAGTAACTTGTTGCTGACAGACAAAATGCAATAGCACGGTCTCAAGCAACCTTGAGAGTTTGCCTATCCAAGGCTCGATCCAAGCATGTGACACAAACCAATGAGGTCTCTGCACTTGAATCGCCATGAGCTCTACCATGCTGCAGCCCTTTTTCGCATAGCCGTCCTGGGATTCTGCATAATGGGGCCAATTAAAAAAAGAAAAACGGTAGATTCTTCAAATTGGAAAATGTTTTGTCACATCATCAACAGATCCAGGCTTCGGTGGCTGGTTTGATGATCCAATGATTCGCATGATACAAGTTGAAGGTCTCAAACTGCAGCCTTGTCCCACGCTGTTCTCCGAAAGTCTCGCACCATCTGTCAGCCATCTTGGAGATGAAAACAACGATCTTTGCCAATTGCTCGCACGTGATCCCTCGCTCTGCAGTATCTTTGATGCAGAAAGCCTCCTCCGACGTGTGTGGGGCGCACCAACAAATGCAGCAAATGAAATTGGAATGGAATTCAATTGAAGCATTATGAAGTACCTTCAAAGGTGGAATAATGGGCCTGCAATCTCTGAAATTCAACAGATTGACTTCTAAATACACTTTCTCTTTATTCTATTTGATCCTATTGGTTATATCGCCTTTTTGCCAAAAAAAGGAACACGGATCCACATTTGTCTCCTGGTTGGTGATCTCTGAGTAGTTTGTCAAGACTAAAGTGCTGCGGTGGGTTGCCTCCACAATGTCATCGCACTGCAGCTGGCAGACCCCACTTGAAAGCACCTTGTTCCCATGCCATGGACTGTCTGGCAAACGCTCACGTAGCAGTGAAATAATGTCAGCAGCGGTGCTCGAAGCAGTCAGTTTGATATCAAAGTAACCATGTCCAGGAATATCCACAGAAACCGACATGAGGCAGCGAGTCCTTTGCGCTGTCCAGCGGCACGAATTCAGTGCAGTCTGTAACAATACACAGATTTGTCCATGGTTTATCAAATACTTTCTCATACTTTCTCACTTTCTCTTACGCAACATGAGATTTGGCTGCTCTGTTCTCAATGTGCTTGGCTGGCCGTTTCATCTCGAGGTGAATGTCACCGAATGCTGTGATACAGGTCCGTCTTGAGAGCGGAGACACAGAATCTGCAACACCTCCACAAGAACCAACACAGTAAACATGACCCACACGTCTCTTCAACGCTTGGTTTCCGAGCTCTTCCAGGACCTCTGCAGGGAAGTCCTGCAGCTGTCAAGCCTAATCAAGCCTAATCAAGCCTAATCAAGCCTAATGCATATCGTGGATCAACTTTGTTTTGCCGAACCCTGAAGGATCCTAAAGGATCCTTCTAACAACTCTGTTCCAACATAGTGCGACAACGAGGTGGCGTCCTCAGATGGCATGCATCATGGTGGCAAGATGCACCGAATGTCCATGCTGCCGGGTGGTACCGGACAAGGTTGCAACGCCAAGTGGGGGCAACGGACAAGTGGTGTCACGACTCAAACCAAACTGTGAAAAGGTAAACTTTGATGAACTTTGAACTTCTTTTCCCTAGAATCAAACCTGGCAATGAAAACCCAATTTTCAGTACAGGAACATCAACTGAAAGTCACTCCAAAAGCAGGATCTCCGATCACCAAATTGGACCTACCGGGTACATGTTGGAAGTGCCACCTGCTAGGATCAACATTTCAGGCACTAGGTGGACCCACTGGACCCAAACTCCACTTTTCTGAGACAAAACGGATTCCAATCACTTGTTATTCAACATATTTGAAGGCCTGAAACCGGAAAAAATACAACGGAAATCCGAAAACCTCCGCGGAAACGTCTCCCTTGACGCCAGATATGAATCGATCGGCTCCAGCTCCACTCCCTGCCTCTCGCTGTCCAACGTGGCAGCTCCATGGTTCGCCTGTTTCCGAACCCGCTTGGGATGTGTTTTTCATCCAGGAAAACACATGAAATCCATCTGAGGACATGGAGCTGAAATTTCCGGCATGTTTTGACAAATTCAGAGATCCCTACAACTTGGATAATACCGATATTCAACGGAAAGGTGCAAAGCGTTGTCTCTCGCTTCGTACAGCTGGCCTTTCCACACTCTCTCGATCATACCATATACAGCAGGATAAAATGGTATGGAAAGATCACTGAATCTTCTAGACGTTTCCAACATATGCTGCCACTGAAAAGCCACAATCCATCACAATCTCACTGTTTTCATGATTCATGATGATTCATGATGGTTCATGATGATGTAAAAATCAGCATGTCAACCCATGTCAACTCTAAAGCCCCTGGTCGTGTCCTCATTACGACTCTCGCGCATCGTCTCTCCGGCCTGGCGTCCTTTCCACGCCACGTGGAGAACCCAGCTAGGTGACGTGACCTGCCGGTGCCCAGGTACCCAGGTGCCCAGGTCATGAACTGCGTAACAACCCCAGGGTGAGTTCAACCAGACAATATGATGTATATTTATTAAACTTTATTTATATTTATCATTAATTTATGAATATCAATGAAAATATATGAAAATATGATATCAATTGATATCGAAGGCAGTATCCCCGAGCATTGATTCTTAGGTGCGCAGCCAATGATCAAAATATCGGAACCCCAAGTATTCGCATTCCGTGCTATGATCACCTGTGCGACCTGTGGTGCTTTTAGTGCAAAGCTATAGGCCCATAGGCCCACCTAAACTCACTCATTTACGGCCCTTCTCTACTAAACGATCCAAAGGAAAAGATCCGATTTTCACAATTCTTCCGGTTGATGGCCGAAGATGTGGATCATATGTCATGTCGCAGTGGGCGGCCCATTGTCTTTATAAAACCGCATGCTGATGATATTGTGACGGCCACTATGCCACCGTGCTGCAAGTGCGCCCACCAAGCCACGAAACAATTGGTCGTATTTCATTTTAGTTCTGATGTTCTGGACTCAAGTGGTGCTGTTTCAATGTGTGAATCGCGAAAAAAACATCAGAAAATTGCGACGCCCAGCGCCCAAAGTCTTTTCCGGCGCCTGGTCGCTGACTGTCGTAGCGTGGCCTGAGCACCAGGTGTGTCTTGCCACGGAGAACTCGAAACACCGCTGGACACGAACAGCACAAAGGCACGTTTCGGTCAAGGGAACAGAAATTCCAAGAATCAGTGACAGGGCACGCCTTTCATCTTTAAAAAAAACCTGAAATAGCCTTGAAGGTGTTGAGTCGGGACTTGTTTTTTAGCCAGATGGAAACTTTGTTATACCTCTCTCAGCAGCTTCCTTCCAGGTTCAAAACAAACAATTTCTGTTCCGCTCCCGACAGACCCAATGGTTTTCTTGCCGGAGGGGCATATGTTGAACCTTACAAAGAGTGAAAAGGAGTTTTCAGGTAGTTGCCAGCCCAAATAAAACCGCAAGACATCCCCATCTCATCCCACAGCAATCGAGTCCAAAATCCACCCAAAAAAATCACCAGGCGAGCAGGACAGCTGGATAAAACATGATAAAACCATAAAACTATCATTAAACCCTGATTCCTTTGCTGATTTTGAACATACTTCAAGTGCTCCCGGTTTCGGCCTTGGTGCTTGGAGACCGGCTCCAGCTGGGACCTCAGGGTCGTCAACAGAAACCCATGCATCCTGGTGGAAAGAGTACGACTAGAACCTGATCCCCAGGCAGCTCGACCCATCATTTTCGAACAGAAAGGACATCCTCTAAGCCGATCTAAGCCGGATATCTCAGGGATTCAATGGCAGTCGATGCTTGAACAAATTGCGGGCAACTCACTGAGCTCGTTTTGATTCAAGTAAAGCTCCTGCAAGTTGCTGAGTCCTGAAAAGACTTCAGCAGGCAGCTCACTGAGTTTGTTTTCATCCAGGTCGAGCTTCTGCAACTTGCTGAGCCCTGCAAAGACTTCAGCATGCAAGTGAGTGAGATCGTTACTACTCAGGTCGAGAATCTGCAAGCTGCTGAGGCTTGAAAAGATGTTCGCAGGCAACTGGGTCAGTTTGTTTGAATCAAGGTAAACCTTCTGCAGGTTGCCAAGCCCGGAAAAGAACTCAGCGGGCAACTCGCTGATCTGGTTTGTCCGAGACTTCAATGTGTTATCTAAATCAAATAATACGATTGGGTCAGCCAGGACATCCCAATTCCAATTCCATATGAGACTCAAGACTTTGTCTATTTCTACGTCTGCGTCCGACATGATCTCCTTTTCCTTGCCCAAGTTGAGCACCTGCAGGTTTCTGAGCCCTGCAAAGCCGTGAGAAGGCAACACACTGAGATTGTTGTATCCCAAGTCGAGCACCTGCAGGTTACTGAGCTCTGCAAACAAGTTGGCAAAGGCTTCTGGAGGCAATTCATTCAGCTTGTTCGCAAAGAGATAAAGCCGTTGCAGGTTGCCAAGCGCAGAAAAGACTTCAGCAGGCAGCTCACTGAGCTCGTTCTGATACAAGTAAAGCTTCTGCAACTTGCTGAGCCCTGAAAAGACCTTAGCAGGCAACTCGCTGAGTTTGTTGCCATTCAGCTTGAGCTTCTGCAAGTTGTTAAGCCCTGAAAAGGCTTCAGCACGCAAGTGAGTGAGATCGTTACTACTCAGGTCGAGAATCCGCAAGCTGCTGAGGCTTGAAAAGATGTTCGCAGGCAATTGGGTCAGTTTGTTTGCATCAAGGTAAACCTTCTGCAGGTTACCAAGCCCGGAAAAGAACTCAGCGGGCAACTCGCTGATCTGGTTTGTCCGAGACTGCAATGTGTTATGGTAAAGCAAAAGATCCACATAGAAGGCTGTGTCTACGTCCGAGGTGAGCACCTTGCACTTGCCCAAGTCGAGCACCTGCAGGTTACTGAGCTCTGCAAACAAGTTGGCAAAGGCTTCTGGAGGCAATTCATTCAGCTTGTTCCAACAGAGATAAAGCTGTTGCAAGTTGCCAAGCTCAGAAAAGACTTCAGCAGGCAGCACACTGAGCTCGTTTTGATACAAGTCAAGCTTCTGCAACTTGCTGAGCCCTGAAAAGACCTTAGCAGGCAACTCGCTGAGTTTGTTGCCATTCAGCTTGAGCTTCTGCAAGTTGTTCAGCCCTGCAAACGATCTGGACCAGACTGCAGAAGGCAACTGGCCGAGTTTGTTGGTCCCCAGGTCGAGATCTTGCAAATTTCTGAGCCCTGAAAACAGATTGGCCCAGACTTCAGCAGGCAACTCGCTGAGTTTGTTGGACGGCAGGTACAGCTTCTGCAAGCTGCTGAGCCCTGAGAAGACTTCAGCAGGCAACTCGCTAAGTTTGTTGGACCTCAGGTTGAGAATCTGCAAGTTGCTGAGCCCGGCAAACGATTTGGACCAGACTGCAGAAGGCAACTGGCCGAGCTTGTTGGTCCCCAGGTCGAGATCTTGCAAATTTCTGAGCCCTGAAAACAGATTGGCCCAGACTTCAGCAGGCAACTCGCTGAGTTTGTTGGACGGCAGGTACAGCTTCTGCAAGCTGCTGAGCCCTGAGAAGACTTCAGCAGGCAACTCGCTAAGTTTGTTGGACCTCAGGTTGAGAATCTGCAAGTTGCTGAGCCCGGCAAACGATTTGGACCAGACTGCAGAAGGCAACTGGCCGAGCTTGTTGGTCCCCAGGTCGAGATCTTGCAAATTTCTGAGCCCTGAAAACAGATTGGCCCAGACTTCAGCAGGCAACTCGCTGAGTTTGTTGGACGGCAGGTACAGCTTCTGCAAGCTGCTGAGCCCTGAGAAGACTTCAGCAGGCAACTCGCTGAGTTTGTTGTATCGCAGGTCAAGCTTCTGCAACCTGCCGAACCCGGAAAAGACTTCAGCAGGTAGCTCACTGAGCGAGTTGTAACTCAGGTCGAGCTTCTGCAACCTTCCGAGCCCGGAAAAGACTCCAGCACGCAACTCACTGAGCCAGTTCCAACCCAGGCCGAGGTCCTGCAAGTTGCTGAGCCCTGCAAAGACTTCAGCAGGCAACTCACTAAGTTTGTTGGACCTCAGGTTGAGAATCTGCAAGTTGCTGAGATTGGCCCAGACTTCAGCAGGCAACTCGCTAAGTTCGTTTTTGAACAGGTCCAGCTCCTGCAGTTTGCTGAGCCCTGAAAAGATGTCGCCTGGCAAATCAGTCAGCTTGTTTGAACCAAGGTCGAGCACCTGCAGCAAAGGAGTCTTATCAAAGATGCCATTTGGCAGAGAGTTCAACATGTTTTCGCTCAGATCAAGAACCTGTAGAAGGGGGCTGTGCTGCAAAAGCTCTTGCGGAAGTACGCTCAGCCGGTTTCCATCAATGATCCGTATGCGCCCCTCAGATTTGCCCCTCAGCAACAATTTCTCCAGGGCTGGCATGGGGCGCAGCAAGTCTTCTGGCAACACCTTCAATCGGTTTTGGCTCAGCGACAAGATTTTCAAGTTTGACAAGCCCGTGAACGCGTCTGACTCCACCTGTTGCAAACCCAAACGGCCCAAGTCCAGCAGTTGCAGATTGTCCAAAGGAGCGAACACCTGCTTAGGCAAAAGAAACAAGAAATTGCCAGAGAGTGATAGCCGTTGCAAGCTCCGTGAAGAGGTGAAGGCATCCTCTGCAACACTTGTGATGTCCTGCTCACTCAAGCTCACATCTTTGAGGCGAAGAACACCTGCGAGGTGGCAGTTCGCGAGGTGTTTTGCACCATCTTCTTTTTGCAGACAGCGGCACGGAAAGCATCCAAAATCAGTCGTGTCAATAGGGTAGAAGTGCGTTGAAAGCAATAGAGCAATGATCGTGACAAGCAAACAGGGCGAATACCTAAGCAGTGGTTGCAAGGAGAGACAGAGAACTCGAGTTCATCCATCAAAGCCCGATGGTGTGAAAGGGGGGGGCATTCCGGCACACAAACCCACGCCATGATGAAACAGAAACCCAATCTCAAATAATCTCAAGGGGATTGATATTGAAGACATAGGTATCATAGGTATCCATTTTTTTACTTCGCAAATGCCTGTGGTGTGACTCCTGGAACTAGGCCTGACAGCACCTTGCAACTGTGGAATCCTGGAACTCGGAACCCTGAAACCTCGGAATCCTGGACCTGTGAAACTAAGTGGGAAGCCTGAAACGCGCTGAAAAACCTTTCTCAAGCCCTGGAACCCCCTTGGCTGAGATCGCAAAGCTGTTGATGCTGTTGGGGAACAACACCTTAAGAAGTGGTGTATTCGTATGCTTTGGGATGCACAAAAGGTGCAGCAAGTACAATAAAGCTGAGAACAACAAGACGCCTCCTCTGTACAAATATGTTGAGGGGCTTTGAGATACTCACATGACAAATTGTGTCAACAGGTTGCGGAACCACGATGGATTGAAAATTGCAGAAACACATAAAAGGAAGCCAATGCAGCAAAAATGCAAGGCTTTGCAACAAATCCGGTATCTCTTTGAGCAAGAAAATCGCGATGGGCTCAGCAGTGACTGGGAAGCAGAGCTCGGTAAGCTTTGCAACTTCTTCCAGTAGGTCGATCGATCGCTTCGCTCCAAGGCACGGCAAACAGTGCAGACGTGTGCAAGTGAATAGTAGACAGCAAAGAAACCAAAAAAGTCGGCTGGGAATGCAAATGCCGGGTCCAACTCTGCTTGGAAGTTCACTGAAGCCTCATCCCCAAAATTTCCTGAAATGGCTTGGTCCAGCTGTAGTTCGTAGATGGCCAGCAAGGTGATGATGAGGTATGTGCTCGTGTAAGCAAGATCCAGAACAGCATCCATCATGGCAGCACCACGCCGCACCCGCTTCACAGAAGGGAAGGCCAACAGAATCGATGGATAGATACTGTTCAAACACAGGAAACCCATAAAAGTCCAAAAGCATCTTTCGAATGCACCTGAATGCTTCGGAGCTGAATGGAATGCAAAGGACACAAGGCCACCCATGATTTGGAGCTTTCCAAAGGCCTGTAGCATCACTGTGAATAATTGCAGCATTGCAACTTTGAAGCCGTAGAGCTTGCCTTCAATGCCAAAATACTCCTCATAGAGCAGCTGGGTGGGTTTCAACGGTCTCAACTTGATATTGGCTGACCGACACCAGCGCAAGTCGCTCAGGAGGACGATGATCAAGGCCAGGTATGGCAAAGAGAAAACAATGGAAGGCAACAGCTGCGAAAGGCTCTCCTCCAACCATCCTCCAGAATCAGAAGTGGCAACCTCCGGCAATGTCCCATCACTGGGCTCAACTGTCTGCTTGAGAGCAAAAGCATCTCGGATCAGTTTTGGAAGCTTGGAACGGATGAAAGGTGGGCTGTACCGCACGAAGTATTGCCCCCCAAGGTACACTGCTGCAAGTAATGAGCTGGTCCGAAGCAAAGCAACAACAACGACTACCAATCGTGATTGCTGTGCTGGTTGCCCAGACATAAGCAAAGGATCTACCTGCAAACTGCCTGCCAGGAGTCCCACCTGTTCTGCCAAGTGGTGCACATCATCCACTTGATTTTCCAGCTTTGTCAAAGAGGCTTCACGGAAACGGATCGTGGCTAAATAGTGGTTGATCTTGACCACCATCTCGGCACATCTGACACCAGCATGGACTGAAGCAAAAGAATCGCGGGTACGCACAATCTTGATTTCTCTCAAATCATCATACTCTGCTCTCGTTTGCAGAAAGCACCACGCACTGAGCATTATTTCCCAATCATCGAAGATTACATCACAATACAAGAGATCTACGATTCGATTGGGTTCACCTTCTCGCACGACAGCCTCTTGTGCCACTGGCACTGTCATCAGTACGGGCCGCAAATCTTGCCGAGATATGGAACCAGGCTGCTCCTCCAAGAACTCTCGCAGTGGAAGGCACAGATTCTTGTCGAAGTCATCAAGATGCTTTCTGGCTTCGACGAAGTGTTCCGTCAAGCTTGTGACTTGAGGCTGGGCAATATCGTCTCTACCCCAATCACCAAAAAGCCTGGACATGTCATTCTGCAAATTCTTTGCATACAAAGCTTCCGATTCAACTTCAAGCCTCCTTGACAGTTCTTGCATTCTGTTGAGCCGAGCTGTGGTGTAAACAATGCTGACAATTGCAATTGAGATAATAATCAGAAAAATCAACGTGCCAGACACCCCTGCTGACTGAGAAAAGCTATAACTTGCAACGGGCAACAGGCTGAGAACCAGAAGAACCAACAAAAATCGGCTCTCTACCTCTGCCACTGCTTGTGCAAGAATCAGCACACTAAGCTCCAGATTCTGGCGCCAAGCATTTCCCGCAACACAAATCCTTCTGCCAAGGCCCGACCAGCGGTGCCTTTCGCAATAACCGCTCTCAGAAGAATGAAAAGAATGACATGAAGGATGGCTGCATGGGAACGGTTTGTTTTCATCAAACATCTCCTGTTGAGTGCTGTGAATCTCTGTCTCCGCATCTTCTCCAGCTGATTCGTCACTGCTTGTGGCGCTGGACCTGCCAAACCTGGTTGGCTCAAAGTACACTGAGCTGACGTGTGGCAGCTGGCCGGCACTGAGTTGTCGCATCCGTTGCCAAATGAAACGGAAGCTCCGGGTGCAATGCGCTTTGATAACACCGCCAAAATCAACATGAGCAAATCGAGCGAACCATTCTCGCTTTGGCAAACCTTCAATGTTCACCCAAGTGTCCAAGCTGCCTCGCAACCATTTCAGTGACTTAATGGATTGGTGAAGTTCCATCCTCGCATCAATCGACACCTGGCCACATCCGCTGAGATCAATAACTATACTCTCCAAGTTTCGCGAAGACTGCAAAGCTGAACTAAAGCATCCGAATTCTTCCAAACATGGCAAGTTCATGAACCTGCAGCCACTGGACCGTGGCAGCTGAGAAAAATCAAAATAACAATATCATGTCCATGGAATCAAAAAGAAAGCGCAGCAAACAATAAGCTGAAAATCATATTTCTTGCTGGTTCAAGATGAAGAAAAATGTGACTGGAAATTCACAACTCAGCGCACCATAGCTCCAGGTACATGAGGTTCTCCATCTCCCTCAGGGCAACTCCAAGCCCTGCCGCAGTCCTGAAGTGCGAGGAACCTGTGAAGCGCAACTTCAACTGGACCAAAGATTTCAAACACTGCACCGTCGATGTGAACATGTCCAGAGTCTCAAGACCCGAGAATCCCAGATCTAATCGCAAAACGCGCAACTCTGCAGGTAGGCTTTCGATCAGCACGTCAAGCTCATGGTCAGAAAAATTCTGGCACCCAGTCAGTGAAAGCTGCACTATCTTTCTACCAACGTCTGCCTTTACAGCTCTGGCCAGAAGTTCAGTGCATCTTCCTTGAAGGACAAATCCGTACCAGCTGGATAAAGCGAAATGCGAAGCAAGAGCTTCATCTACTCGCTGGAAATTCGGATCCCCAGCGGGGTACGACTGCAAAAGCTCAAAGTCACAAGTTCCAAGACGAGAAAGAGCTATGCTGTTCAGTATACGAACTTTGTCGATGTTCTGCGTGGCATGAGCTTCCTTGAGCTGTCCAACATTCAAACTCATGATTATGGCTCGGACACCTTCTGGAAAAAGAGAGAACTTAAATTAGAATGAGCTATTTTTGCGAGGTGACATACATAAAATGCAAATGGAACAATATGAACAATGGACCATGGACCTTGTCCATTCAATCGATCGTCCAAATTCATAAAACGGTTCTCCAAACAACGTCAAAACAGCAAAAGTTTCTTGCAATCCCGCAGCAAGTTTCTTCAATCTTTACCTTCAAGCCCTTTTCTAAAAGGTCCAGAGGAAAGTGACGCTCACGAGCTGCTTTGTGGTGCAACCCGATGATGCCAATCATTCGACTTTCCGCTCCGGCAAGTCCATCAGTAAGCACGTGAGCCTCAGAGATCAACAAGTTTGGAAGGGTCAAAACATCACTTATCACTTATCACCTCTTTGTAACGATATATGGAAATGGAGGCTTACAGTAAGGTGATGTGAAACGGTTCACCATGGTACAGAAATGGGGTTACGGTAAAGGCGATGGTCTCAACCTTTCGAGCAGACCACGCAAAGGAAATGTCCACACAAGGCCACCCCTTCTGTGTCGAGCAGCTTTGTCATATGCGTCAGTGGCTCCCACATCAAGCAGTAAACGTCGTCTGGACCAGTTGCCCTCTCGATGTTCGATCGCCTTGGTCGCTTTTAGGGTGAAAATACCGGAATTGTTTACACCAGTGTCTCCTTCGATCCACTATCTACTGAAGCATTGCCTGCCTTTACGAACATGACCTGGTGTTGCTCCTGCTCGTTATACCCCATTCACATGTATGCAAATCGCATTTTGCACTGAAACAAGCTAGCTGATAGCTGGACAAATCAAAACGTGTCCCTTCAGGCAGAACTCACAAATCAAAAAAACTCACGTTCATGTCACCTTTTTTCTCGTTCTATGATGCTTTCTCGCACTTCTAGGAATTTCTAAGGCTGTGGCCATGGCTTCCTCGAAGCAGCACCAAATCCTTTCGAAAGGCGTTCCGTTGTTGTTGTAAGCGGACGTCAACCTGCTCCTCACCGAAGTGAAGTAGTTAAGACGCCATAGTATGCCATCTGCGAGAATCAAGTTCCCATACTTCTCCAAGCAAAACTCAAAGGAAGCGAAACCTGCCTGAAATAAAAAAGAAGTAAACACAGTGCGCCAGCTAGCATTCCGCATGGAATGTTTGTTGATCAAGTACGACTTGCCAAAAAGGTAAAGTCCGTAGCCTCTGCAGACACCAAACTGCTGCAGCCCAAGCCACGGCTCGCTGATGTCGCTGCACAGCCGCAGCGATCATGGAGCGTGAGTCACGCAACACCTCACCTGCCTGAGCATCGGCTGTCGCATTGAGAACGCGGCAGAGATGAACATCAATCCAACCATCTGGTGGTGTCCAGTCAGGCACCTTGTTGTGAGAAGGGATCCAAGTGCAAACAGTGCCCTGAATCAATAAGCCGCTGATCCGCTGCCAGAAAAGCGGCAAGTCACCCTCCCAACGGCCAGTGCTAATGCCTCGCTGAAGCCGCCGCACCAAAGCCTGATTGTCAATCAAGAGCATCACCGGTCTGTTAGCTGCAGAAGAGGCTAAACAAGCTTGCAGAAGAGCAGCACGCTCACCTGCAGCAGGTGTTTGCTCAAAACCAGTCACGGCACCTTGAACAGTGGTGCCTGAAAGTGTCGAAACCGCCCAGCTAGCTCTTTGCCATCGATCACAGGAAGTAGCTATGATACAACTGCCGTCCAAACCCAAGGTGGGTCGCTGAAGAGGATCGAATTGCTGAATAAAAGTAACCAAAGCAGGATCTGCTACCATGTTGGAAAAAGGCAACACAGGAGGAGCATCCACAAGTGGAACCAGCAAACGACGTTCAGTAGCGCTCCTGAACTCACCATCCCATGGCTGCGCTTGGCAGTGAAAAGTGAGATGTTCTCGATCAGGAGACCGCAATCCACATTCACAACTCAAAGCAGAACCAAAGCGCTCTGTGACCCTGCCATCCACTGCAGCACCAGTCAAAACCCTGCGACTGTAGTAATCCATGCCTAAAGCTGCATTTGCCTGAAAAAGGAAAACCGGCTCCTTGCCGTTTGGCCATCGACCATCCGTTTTGGTGTCTTTAGTCCACAAACCAACGAGCCATGAATGGATAGCGGCCTTTTGCAAGCTTTTCAAAGACATCCACCCAGGTTTCAAAATCCCAGCAGGCGTGTGCCACAGGCCATCGTCAAGTCGCCATTTCCAATCTTTGAGTACTGCTTTCCAGCGAGGAGCAGGCGAGGTAGCTGCAGGCAACCCTTGGGCACGGCGGCATTGCCGATTCCATTCCGCCCGGGCGGCGGTGAACTGGAGCGCAAACATCGGATGTAGTCTTGCAGAACCCAAAGAATTCCAAAAGAGCAGCCGGCTCCTACCTGGAGGAGCCCTTCGACCCCAAAGTGCAGTTTCGATCATAGATGTCCATGTTCGAATGGTTCTTGCACTGAAGTGATGAAAAGCACCGGACCAAGCAAATAAAGATATCACCAACTTATGCACCAATGCAATGCGAGTGCCTAAGTGCTGTGCTGCCAAACGAATTTTGAGACACCGTCGCTGTTGTTGTTGTTGTTGTAAGCGGACGTCAACCTGCTCCTCACCGAAGTGAAGTAGTTAAGACGCCATAGTATGCCATCTGCGAGAATCAAGTTCCCATACTTCTCCAAGCAAAACTCAAAGGAAGCGAAACCTGCCTGAAATAAAAAAGAAGTAAACACAGTGCGCGTTCCAGCTGAATCCAGCACCAAAAGAACTCCCTCAGACATCTGCATAGCTCTGTAGAATGAAGTGCTGCGTGGGTTGCTTTTGATATCCTCTTCCACGCAGTGCTGGTTATTGGCATATGCACAGACCCAATAGAATGTACTGCTTGAGAGTTCTCGCACCAGAGCATGCTGCTCCAAGCAGGCCAGAAACTTACAAACAGGCTCCTCACAGATCTGCCCAACACAAAATTGGACGTGCTTCAAAGTAATAGATTGACTTTCATCTATCACTACGCTGGATGTTCATTTCTTGGGAATGTGAATTATTAGTGGAAAAAGTAACTTGTTGCCGACAGACAATGAAATAACACGGTCTCAAACAACCTCCTCCAGAGTTTACCTATCCAAGGCTCGATCCAAGCATGCGACACAAACCAGTGAGGTCTCTGCACTTGAATCGCCATGATCTCAACCATGCTGCAGCCCTTTTTCGCATAGCCGTCCTGGGATTCTGCATAATGTTGCCATCAAAAGAAAAAGAACAACGGTAGATTCAACAAATTGGAAAATGTTGTCACATCATCAACAAATCCAGGCTTCGGTGGCTGGTTTGATGATCCAATGATTCGCATGATACAAGTTGAAGGTCTCAAACTGCAGCCTTGTCCCACGCTGTTCTCCGAAAGTCTCGCACCATCTGTCAGCCATCTTGGAGATGAAAACAACGATCTTTGCCAATTGCTCGCGAGTGATCCCTCGCTCTGCAGTATCTTTGATGCAGAAAGTCTCCTTCGACGTGTGTGGGGCGACCAACAAATGCAGCAAATGAAATTGGAATGGAATTCAATTGAAGCATTATGCAGTACCTTCAAAGGTGGAATAATGGGCCTGCAATCTCTGAAATTCAAAAGATTGACTTCTATAGATACACTTTCTCTTTATTCTATTTGATCCTATTGGTTATATCGCCTTTTTGCCAAAAAAAAGAACAAAGAGGCAGGTGTGTCTCCTGGTTGGTGATCTCTGAATAGTTTGCCAAGACCAACGTGCTGCGATGGGTTGCCTCCACAATGTCATCGCACTGCAGCTGGCAGACCCCACTTGACAGCAACTTGTTCCCATGCCATGGGCTGTCTGGCAAACGCTCACGTAGCAGTAAAATAATGTCAGCAGCGGTGCTCGAAGCAGTCAGTTTGATATCAAAGTAACCATGTCCAGGAATATCCACAGAAACCGACATGAGGCAGCGAGTCCTTTGCGCTGTCCAGTGGCACGAATTCAGTGCAGTCTGTAACAATACACAGATTTGTCCATGGTTTATCAAATACTTTCTCTTACGCAACATGAGATTTGGCTGCTTTGTTCTCAATGTGCTTGGCTGGCCGTTTCATGTCGAGGTGAGTGTCACCGAATGCTGTGATACAGGTCCGTCTTGAGAAGCGGAGACAATCTGCAACACCTCCGAAAGAACCAACACAGTAAACATGACCCACACGTCTCAACGCTTGGTTTCCGAGCTCTTCCAGGACCTCTGCAGGGAAGTCCTGCAGCTGTCAAGCCTAATCAAGCCTAATCAAGCCTAATGCATATCGTGGCTCAACTTTGTTTTGCCGAACCCTGAAGGATCCTAAAGGATCCTTCTAACAACTCTGTTCCAACATAGTGCGACAACGTGGCGTCCTCAGGTGGCATGCATCATGGTGGCAAGATGCACCGAATGTCCATGCTGCCGGGTGGTACCGGACAAGGTTGCAACGCCAAGTGGGGGCAACGGACAAGTGGTGTCACGACTCAAACCGAACTGAGAAAAGGTAAACAGTGAACTTTGATGAACTTTGATGAACTTTGATGAACTTTGAACTTCTTTTCCCTCCAATCAAACCTGGCAATGAAAACCCAATTTTCAGTACAGGAACATCAACTGCAAAAGTTGATATCTCCGATCACCAAATTGGACCTACCGGGTACATGTTGGTTGGACGTGCCACCTGCTAGGACCCTCATCTCGGGCACTAGGTGGACCCACTGGACCCAACTCCACTTTTCTGAGACAAAACAGATTCCAATTACGTTTGTTATTCAACATATTTGAAAGGCCTCAAAACCGGAAAAAACACAACGGAAATCCGAAAGCTCCGCGGAAACTTCTCCCTTGACGCCAGTATTTCTATCCGTTCCAGCTCCACTTCCTGCCTCGCTGTCCAACGTGGCAGCCCCGCGGTTCGCCTGTTTCCGAACCCACTTGGGATGTGTTTTTCATCCAGAAAAAAAACACGTGAAATCCATCTGAGGACCTGGAGCTGAAATTTCCGTGTTTTTTTGACAAATTCAGAGATCCCTACAACTTGGATAATACCGATATTCAACGGAAAGTGCAAAGCGTTGTGTCTCGCTTCGTACAGCTGGCCTTTCCACGCTCACTCGACCATATCGTATATGCCCTAGGATAAAATGATATGGAAAGATCACTGAATCTTCTAGACGTTTCCAACATATGCTGCCACTGAAAAGCCACAATCCATCACAATCTCACTGTTTTCATGATTCATGATGATTCATGATGATTCATGATGATGTAAAAATCAGCATGTCAACCCATGTCAACTCTAAAGCCCCTGGTCGTGTCCTCATTACGACTCTCGCGCATCGTCTCTCCGGCCTGGCGTCCTTTCCACGCCACGTGGAGAACCCGCAGCTAGGTGACGTGACCTGCCGGTGCCCAGGTACCCAGGTGCCCAGGTCATGAACTGCGTAACAACCCCAGGGTGAGTTCAACCAGACAATATGATGTATATTTATTAAACTTTATTTATATTTATCATTGATTTATGAATATCAATGAAAATATGATATCAATTGATTGATATTGAAGGCAGTATCCCCGAGCATTGATTCTTGGGTGCGCAGCCAATGATCAAAATATCGGAACCCCATTCGCATTCCGTGCTGTGATCACCTGTAGGGCTTTTAGTGCAAAGCTATAGGCCCATAGGCCCACCTAAACTCACTCATTTACGGCCCTTCTCTACTAAACGATCCAAAGGAAAAGATCCGATTTTCATAATCTTTCCGGTTGGTTGTCGAAGATGTGGATCATATGCCATGTCGCAGTGGGCGGCCCATGGTTTTTATAAAACCGCATGATGATATTGTGACCGCCACTATGCCACCGTGCTGCAAGTGCGCCCACCAAGCCACGAACAAACAATTGGTCGTATTTCATTTTAGTTCTGATGTTCTGGATTCAAGTGGTGCTGTTTCAATGTGAATCGCGAAAAAAACATCAGAAAATTGCGACGCCCAGCGCCCAAAGTCTTTTCCGGCGCCTGGTCGCTGACTGTCGTAGCGTGGCCTGAGCACCAGGTGTGTCTTGCCACTGAGAACTCGAAACACCGTTGGATACGAACAGCACAAAGACACGTTTCGGTCAAGGGAACTGAAATTCCAAGAATCAGTCAGTGACAAGGCACGCCTTTCATCTTTAAAAAAACTGAAATAGCCTGGAAGGATCTGGAAGGTGTTGAGTCGGGACTTGTGTTTGGCCAGATGGAAACTTTGTTACACCTCTCTCAGCAGCTTCCTTCCAGGTTCAAAACAAACAATTTCTGTTCCGCTCCCGACAGACCTGATTGTTTTCTTGCCGGAGGGCTATACATTGAACCTTACAAAGAGTGAAAATGAGTTTTCAGGTAGTTGCCAGCCAAAAAAAACAGCAAGACATGCCATCTCATCCCACAGCAATCGAGTCCAAACTCCAAAAAATCACCAGGCGAAGCAGGACAGAAACTTGGATAAAACATGAGAAAACCACAAAACTATCATTAAACCCTGATGCCTTTGCTGATTTTGAACATACTTCAAGTGCTCCCGGTTTCGGCCTTGGTGCTTGGAGACCGGCTCCGGGACCTCAGAGTCGTCACCAGAAACCCATGCAGCCTGGTGGAAAGAGCGAGACTACAACCTGATCCCCGCAGCTCGACCCATTTTCGATCAGAAAGGACATCCACTAAGCCGATCTAAGCCGGATATCTCAGGGATTCATCAGCAGACGATACTTGAACAAATTGCGGGCAACTCGCTGAGATCGTTTCCGTTCAAGCGAAGCTCCTGCAAGTTGTCGAGACCTGGAAAAACATCATCCCAAACTTCAGCAGGCAACTCGCTGAGTTTGTTGGATCGCAGGTCGAGCTTCTGCAACTTGCTGAGCCCTGCAAAGGCTAGAGCAGGCAGCTCACTGAGCTCATTTTGATACAAGTAAAGCTCCTGCAAGTTGCTGAGTCCTGAAAAGACTTCAGCAGGTAGCTCACTAAGCGTGTTCCAACTCAGGTCCAGCTCCTGCAAGTTGCTGAGTCCTGAAAAGACTTCAGAAGGCAACACACTGAGTTCGTTCGAACGCAGGACGAGCTCCCGCAAGTTGCTGAGTCCTGAAAAGACTTCAGCAGGCAACTCACTGAGCTCGTTTCCATACAAGTAAAGCTCCTGCAAGTTGCTGAGTCCTGAAAAGACTTCAGCAGGCAACTCACTGAGCTCGTTTCCATCCAAGTAAAGCTCCTGCAAGTTGCTGAGTCCTGAAAAGACTTCTGCAGGCACTTCACTGAGCTCGTTTCCATACAAGTAAAGCTCCTGCAAGTTGCTGAGTCCTGAAAAGACTTCAGCAGGCAACTCACTGAGCTCGTTTTGATTCAAGTAAAGCTCCTGCAAATTGCTGAGTCCTGAAAAGACTTCAGCAGGCAGCTCACTGAGTTTGTTTTCATCCAGGTCAAGCTTCTGCAACTTGCTGAGCCCTGCAAAGACTTCAGCATGCAAGTGAGTGAGATCGTTACTACTCAGGTCGAGAATCTGCAAGCTGCTGAGGCTTGAAAAGACGTTCGCAAGCAACTGGGTCAGATTGTTTGAATCAAGGTAAACCTTCTGCAGGTTGCCAAGCCCGGAAAAGAACTTAGCGGGCAACTTGCTGATCTGGTTTGTCCGAGACTTCAATCTGTTTTGGTAATCCGAAATAAATAAAAGATCCATATAGAAGCCTACGCCTACGTCCGAGGTGATCTCCTTGCACTTGCCCAAGTTGAGCACCTGCAGGTTTCTGAGCCCTGCAAAGCCTTGAGAAGGCAACGCACTGAGATTGTTGCATCCCAAGTCGAGCACCTGCAGGTTACTGAGCTCTGCAAACAGGTTGGCAAAGGCTTCAGGAGGCAATTCATTCAGCTTGTTCCAACAGAGATAAAGCTGTTGCAAGTTGCCAAGCTCAGAAAAGACTTCAGCAGGCAGCACACTGAGCTCGTTTTGATACAAGTCAAGCTTATGCAACTTGCTGAGCCCTGAAAAGACCTTAGCAGGCAACTCGCTGAGATCGTTTTGGCTCAAGTACAGCTTCTGCAAGCTGCTGAGCCCTGCGAACGATTTGGACCAGACTGCAGAAGGCAACTGGCCGAGTTTGTTGGTCCCCAGATTGAGATCTTGCAAATTTCTGAGCCCTGAAAACAGACTGGCAGACAACTCGCTGAGTTTGTTGGATCGCAGGTCGAGCTTCTGCAACTTGCTGAGCCCTGCAAAGACTTCAGCAGGCAACTCGCTGAGTTCGTTGTATCGCAGTTCCAGCTCCTGCAAGTTGCTGAGTCCTGAAAAGACTTTAGCAGGCAACACACTGAGTTCGTTGTATTCCAGGTCCAGCTCCTGCAAGTTGCTGAGTCCTGAAAAGACTTCAGCACGCAGCTCACTGAGCTCGTTTCGATACAAGGAAAGCTCCTGCAAGTTGCTGAGTCCTGAAAAGACTTCAGCAGGCAGCTCACTGAGCTCGTTGAAATTCAAGTAAAGCTCCTGCAAGTTGCTGAGTCCAGAAAAGACTTCTGCAGGCAACTCACTGAGCTCGTTTTGATTCAAGTAAAGCTCCTGCAAGTTGCTGAGTCCTGAAAAGACTTCAGCAGGCAGCTCACTGAGCTCGTTGAAATTCAAGTAAAGCTCCTGCAAGTTGCTGAGTCCTGAAAAGACTTCAGCAGGCAACACACTGAGTTCGTTCGAACGCAGGACGAGCTCCTGCAGTTTGCTGAGCCCTGAAAAGATTTTGCCTGGCAATTCAGTCAGCTTGTTTGAGGCAAGGTCGAGGGTCTCCAACAAAGGAATTTTATCAAGGATGTTGTGTGGCAGCGAGGTCAACAAGTTTTCGCTGAGATCGAGAACTTGTAGCCACGGGCTGTGCTGCAAAAGCTCTTGCGGGAGTATGCTCAGCTCGTTTCCATCAACGATGCGATGGCCCTTGTCATCAGATTTACCTCCCAGCAACAATTGCTGCAGAGCTGGCATGGGGTGCAGCAAGTCTTTTGGCAATGCGTTCAAACGATTTTGGCTGAGGGACAAGATTCTCAAACTTGACAACCCAGCAAATGTGTCAGACTCTAAGTGCTTCAAACCCAAGCGGCCCAAGTCCAGCAATTGCAAGCTGTCCAAAGGAGCGAACAGCTCCTTAGGCAAAACAGGCAACCTATTCGCAGAGAGCGACAACCGTTGCAAGCACCTTGAAGAAGCGAAGGCATCGTCTGCAACACTTGTAATGTTTTGTTCGCTCAAACTCACATCTTTGAGGCTCAGAACACCTACAAGGCTGCAGCTCGCAAGGTGCTTTGCACCATGATCCTTTTGGTGACAGCGGCACGGAAAGCATCCGAAATCAGCCGTGTGAATCGGGTAGAAGTGTGACGAAAGCAGCAGAGCAACGATCGTGACAAGCAAACAGGGCGAATACCTGAGCAATGGTTGCAAGGAGGAACAAAGACTCGAGTTCATCCATCAAAGCCCGATGTTGTGAAAGGGGGCCATTCCAGAAACCAACTCTCAAGGGGATTGACATTGAAAATATCGGTATGATATAGGTATATCCATTTTTTTACTTCGCGAGTGCCTTTGCTGGGACTCCTGGAACTATGCCATCCGACAGCACCTTGCAACTGTGGAATCCTGGAACCCTGGAAACCCTGAAATACTTGGAATGCACCTCGGAATCCTGGACCTGTGAAACTTCTAAGAAGTGGAACCTTTCAAAAGCCCTGGAACCCCCTTGGCTGAGATTGCAAAGCTGTTGATGCTGGGGAACAACAACTTTAGAAGTGGTGTATGCTTTAGGACGCACAAAAGGGTGCAGCAAGTACAGTAAATAACAACAAGACGCCTCCTCTGTACAAATATGATGAGGGGCTTCGAGATGCTCACATGACAAATTGTGTCAACAGGTCCAACAGGTTGCGAAACCACGATGGATTGAAAACTGCAGAGACAACATAAAACGAAACCAATGCAGCAAAAATGCAAGGCTTTGCAACAAATCCGGTATCTCTTTGAGCAAGAAAATCTCGATGGGCTCAGCAGTGACTGGGAAGCAGAGTTCGGTAAGCTTTGCAACTTCTTCCAGTAGGTCGATCGATCGCTTCGCTCCAAGGCACGGCAAACAGTGCAAACATGTGCAAGTGAATAGTAAACAGCAAAGAAACCAAAAAAGTCGGCTGGGAATGCAAATGCCGGGTCCAATTCTGCTTGGAAGTTGACCGAAGCCTCATCCCCGAAATTTCCTCGAATGGCTTGGTCCAGCTGCAGTTCGTAGATGGCCAGCAAGGTGATGATGAGGTATGTGCTGGTGTAAGCAATATCAAGAACTGCATCCATCATCGCAGCACCCCGGCGCACCCACTTCACAGAGGGGACGGCCAACAGAATGGTTGGATAGATGCTGTTCAGACATAGGAAACCCACAAAAGTCCAAAAACATCCTTCAAACACATCTGAATGCTCTGGAGCTGAATGGAATGCAAACGACACGAGGGCACCGATGATTTGGAGCTTCCCGAAGGCCTGTAGCATCACGGTGAACAGTTGCAGCATTGCAACTTTGAGGCCGTAGAGCTTGCCTTCAATGCCAAAATACTCCTCGTAGAGCAGCTGGGTGGGTTTCAACGGTCTCAACTTGATATTGGCTGACCGACACCGGCGCAAGTCGCTCAGGAGGACGATGATCAAGGCCAGGTATGGCAAAGAGAAAACAATGGAAGGCAACAGCGGCAAAAGGCTTTCCTCCAACCATCCTCCAGAATCAGAAGTGGTAACCTCCGGCAATGTCCCATCACTGGACTCAACTGTCTGCTTGAGAGCAAAAGCATCTCGAATCAGTTTTGGAAGCTTGGAACGGATGAAAGGTGGACTGTACCGCACAAAGTATTGCCCCCCAATGTACACTGCTGCAAGTAATGAGCTGATCCGAAGCAAAGCAACAACAACGACTACCAATCGTGATTGCTGTGCTGGTCGCCCAGACATAAGCAAAGGATCTACCTGCAAACTGCCTGCCAGAAGTCCCACCTGTTCTGCCAAGTGGTGCACATCATCCACTTGATTTTCCAGCTTTGTCAAAGAGGCTTCACGGAAACGGATCGTGGCTAAATAGTGGTTGATCTTGACCACCATCTCGGCACATCTGACACCAGCTTTGACGGAAGCAAAAGAATCGCGAGTACGCACGATCTTGATTTCTCGCAACTCATCATGCTCTGCTCTGGTTTTGAGAAAGCACCACGCACTGAGCATTCTTTCCCAATCATCGAAGATTACATCGCAATACAAGAGATCTAGGATTCGACTGGGTTCACCTTCTCGCACAACAGCCTCTTGTGTCACTGGCACTGTCATCAGTACGGGCCGCAAATCTTGCCGAGATATGGAACCAGGCTGCTCCTCCAAGAACTCTCGCAGTGGAAGGCACAGATTCTTGTCGAAGTCATCAAGATGATTTCTGGCTTCGATGAAGTGTTCCGTCAAGCTTGTGACTTGAGGCTGGGCAATATCGTCTCTACCCCAATCACCAAAAAGCCTGGACATGTCATTCTGCAAATTCTTTGCGTACAAAGCTTCCGATTCAACTTCAA